TCATTGTGAAAAAAGACTCTTTCTTGGAGGAAAAACGCTGCAAAAACTTTTCTTTATTCTATAACTGAATAGGTTTTAGTGTGTGTGTGTGTGTGTGTGTGTGTGTGTGCGCGCACGTGCACATGCGTGCACGCACCTGCATGCACATGGGAGCGTGGAAAATGGAGGTGGTATTCTGGGGAAAAGATGCAAGAATATCTTTGGTCCATAATAGAGACCTGTATCTTAACAGAGTTATTTCCTTCCATTGCTGGACATTTTATATTCATGGTTATTATTCCCATTCTTAAATGTTCTTTATGGTAAAAGTTACTATTTAAATCCAAAATATGAGATGCTACATGCATGAATCAAAAAAGTATAAACACCTAAATGTTAAAACGGAGGAAAAAAGAATCAATTATCGGAGTATGGGATATACATAAATGTAACATTATATATAATCCTTAAAAGTAAGGATTATGAAGCATGGAAAATTGTTGATGATATTAAAAGAAAAAAATCAGTATACAAAAGTATAAGTTCATTAAAACTAGGAATTCACAAGTCTAAGAGAAAATAAATAAGTTAATAGGTGTCTAGAAGTAGTGAGAGCAGAAGTGATTTGTCTCTTCAGTTTCTAAATGTACAGTAGTTTTATTTTTATAACTTGAAAAAGTGTAAACTTTTCTTATATGTCAACTTCTATTAGAATGTAATACATGTCGCTGGAGAGCAAGGAGTATATTTGTGATGTTTCATTATCCAAAATAAATAACAAATCTTATATATGTACACTCTAGGTACCTAACGACTACTACTATTTTTTTCAGAATTCTATAAACAAGATTAATTACTGAAGCATGTTTTACATATAACTTCCTAGGTATCAGGGCTCACATCTGTTTCGGTAATTTTTCAGCATGACATTAAGCAGCAGTCAATAAATGAGTGGTACCACAGGGTACCACTGAGCTTATTAAAAGTGTACCATACAAAAGCGGTCAAATTCATAGAAGCAGAAAGTAAAACGGTTGGTACCAGAGGCTGAGGGAGGGGAAAGGGCAATTGTTTAATGAGTATATAGTTTCAGATTTACAAGACAAAAAGTTCTGGAGATCTGTTTCACAGCACAAATATACTTACTTCTGAAATGTGCATTTGAAAATGGTTAAGCTAGTTCATTTTGTTGCATATTTTTTTCCACAGTAAAAAGGTTTTTAAAAGTTTTTTAAGTGTATTATATAGAGAAAAGGCTAAATTACAATTTTTGAGCTTTCTGGCTCAGGTGAAAACTAGAAGAGTAACAAGAAAGTAACTGATGGAGGAAAAAAACTGACAAAAGGGCACAGTAGAATGGGCGGAGGGGGGGATAGGTAGATAAAAGAACTGTCCCATATTGTGATTGTGATGGTAGTTACACAATGTATACATTTGTCACGATCCACAGAACTGTACACTAAAAAGTGTGAATATTACAGTATGTAAATTATGCCTTAACTTTTTAAACGACAAAAACAAAGAAAACAGAATTGAGTTCTACCCCTTCGAGTGTTTTCTGCCAAGGAAAGACACAGTGAGATCAAAATGAGTCATCCAACTAGAAAATATCAATGACAAAATATGGTAAGATTACTCAGGAAACCGAGAAAGAGAACAGATGAGACTTATAGTCATGTTTATGCCACGTTTTACACAGGCCAGTCTCTCCCCATTCCTTCAGCACCGTGCTCTTATTCAAGTTCCTTTCACTGATCACACCACTTACTTCTTCTTCCCCCGTGCCTCTCAAATGTTGTGCAATGTTATCTGTACAGATGTTTACATGTTATCAGATGATGTGCTCCTTACATTACCCCTCTAAGATATGTATTAACTTGGTGATTAAGTCACTAAGTCACATAGGCTAACAGGGAAGATTAGATTTATCACTGGAGTGGTACACAAAAAGGCTACAAGGTATGAAGTTCAGAAAAATGTCAAAATGATGGATAAGAAACCATTAGTGCTCTAAAGTGACACTGACTCAAAGTGTGGTCCCAAGACCAGCAGCAAAAGTATCACCTGGGAAGGATTTTGTTAAAAATGCAAATCCTTGGGCCACACCCTAGACCTGCTGAATCATGTTCTCCCAGTGGAACTCAGGAATGTTTTAAAAGCTCTTTGTTATCTTAAAGAACAACCAGCGATAGCAGTGCTTTGCATACAAATCACTAGGAATCTTATTAAAATGTAGATTCTAAAATATGACTCTAATGTTCAGACAGGTTAAGATCTCAGTTTTAAGCCAACCCCCTAATTTAACAAAGTGACTCAAACCCATTCCAGATCAGTTAAATCAGAATTTCTGAAGGTCGGACCCAGGCATCAGTATATTTTAAAGCTCTCTATCTGATTCTAAGATATATGGATCTAGGGTTAACAAATCACTGACAGGGAAAAACTGTCCCTCCAGCTCTAAAACACTAGTTATTGAAGTAAAACTATGCTGGCTGGAAAATTACTGTTTGGCTATTGCCCAAGGGAACATAACGCTCTAACAATAAGCTTTCTGCTTCTGTACCCCACACTTGCACAACCAACCTGTGGGTTGACAGTTAGTAAAAAGAAAAAAAATAGACTTGTGTGTTCAAACAGGATGAAGAAAAGGGGTTTAGGGCTTAAAAACCTTGTACCTACCTCTACATTTCGGGGCTGCTTAATTTGGGGTCTGCGTACCCCTGGCAGACCCAGCTGGCTGAATAAAGAGTGTGTTTCCTATAACTCACTGCTTTCTAGTGGTCTTTGTGTCTACTGGGGGCTGGTGGCTACAACATTTGGAGGCCCCAGCGAGATCTTAGAGAGTGGCCCTGAGATCTAAGACTGGACTGGCCTCCAAAGCGGTTGCTGTCCCTGTTACAGACTCAAAGGGGTGGCCACCTGAGACGTTCCGGGGCCCTTGAATGCCATGACGGGGTCAATGCAATCGTCACAGACGCACTCTTTGTTCCTGATCCCGACAGGAATCTCTGAGGCCTCGACGTCTGGATAAAAAGGTACTTTTCTGTTTCTTTTGACTGGTCATTGGGGGGTCCGTGGAGAGACTGGACGCAGTCATATCTCCCGGACCGTGGCCAGGCCGCAGGACGCCAACTCCTGTTCCCTGTCATCGGGTTCTGTCTATTGTCTTTGGTCTTGTCTGGGTTGTAGGTGGCAGACCTCTCCGGGTCCACCTACACCCCAGTAATTATTCTTGTCTGAGTGTCTGTCTTGTGTTTTCCACGTAAGCGATGTGGGGAGGCCCTGAGTTCACAGAAGACACTCTTGGGGTGTCTCCTGCGACATTTCAAAGAAGGGTTTGTAGAGGGAGCTGACTATGGCATAAAGTTTTCTCCAGGCAGCCTAAGAACATTGAGTGAAGTTGAGTGGCCGTCTTTTGGTGTAAACTGGCCTCTGGAGGGTTCTTTTGACAAGGGTTTAATGAGGAATGTTTGGAAGATTGTCACAGGAGACCCGGAA